CCTGGGGAAGTCTTGCTGTCCTGGGGAGGGAGGGTGTCTATAACACACTTCAGTATCCTTTCAAATAAATCATTTTTTTACAAAGACTGGCTTGAATTGATTTTTGTAGCTTACAATCACTTCAGGGGCCAATGGCCTCCTAACTGGATATTCCTTCTCACAGAAGTTTATATGTTCTTCATTAAAAAATAACTTTCCTGTCACCCTGCCTCCTTCCCAATTACATCTGGTTTCTCACCTCTACCTGGAAGTAGGTTATTTGAAGTCAATGGGTTCCTTCTGCATCGTCCATCATTCTGGGCCGCCCAGAAGTGATCAGTCAGAGTGGAAGCTGTCCTTTGAGGGCCACTAGGAAGTCTGCAAGGCCAGCTAAGATCGCAGCTATTTTTAAACCCAGACATCAAAGTATTTGGATGGTTTCCAGAGTTTCCTACCTCCCTACAACCCCCCTTCCAGAAAAAAAAATCAAATTGTGGGGCAGGAGGAAAAACCACCTTAATTGGACCTCCAATTCCCAAATCTGCTATTGAACTCCTTGCTCCAGAAAGGGAACTTCTTGGAAGCTGGCTTAGTAAAACATTTTTCTGAAAAATCCGTGAACTAGAGGGCAGTGCTAAAACCAAACAAAGCCTCGTTGAAGCCAGAGGCACTCCCATTCTTCCAGGTTCCCCTCACAGGGCCCAGTTTTTGCTTTTCACATGGTAACAACAGCTCCCACCTATTGGGCACTTAGGTGTCTTGCATAGGTACAAAAAGACTCACGTGATTACGTTACTGAATTCTCACATCCCCATTCGATAGATTTTATTATTCCCATTTTACAAATGAGGAAACCGAGGCTCGGGGTCGCTGAGTCAATCGCCCAAGAGCACGCATCTGGGAAGTGGCTGATCTCGGATTCAAACCCAGGCGTGTCTGACTCCAGAGCCTGTGCTCTGGGAATCCTAAACCAAAATGTCCAAAGCCGACGGGCGGGACCAGACGCGAGCGGCCGGTCGGGCGAGGCCCGGGGAGTGGAAGGCGGCGCTGAGCAGGAGCCCGCCGGCCACTGAAGAAGGCACCGGCTTTGCAGCAGCTGCCAGGCGCAGCTCCGTGCGAATGGGGCCCAGCGTGGCCAGATTTTCCATTTGCAAAGAGGAGCTTGAAATCTGGTTTTATATGAAATCTCCCAGCTTTTTAAACGTTGGGAACTGATTCAAATATGTCTAGGGAAACTTTGTGCCGGCAGACACATTGGCACCTGCAGCCCACTCTGAGGCAGGAACTCTTGCTCCCCACTCTCCGTGTTTCCCGTGGGAGGAATTTCAGCGAGACGGCCCCAGCCTCCCATCTTTCTCCTGATTGGTGCATTTCACGGAGGGAGCTGCGCGAGCTCCCTGAGCTCCTTCCGTTTCCGGGGGCGGGCCGGCCCACCCGTGGGGAGTGCTTCGCAGGCTGCGTGGGAAAGCCCATCTCCTCAGGGGTGAGGGACGCACAAACCCTCTTCCTCGCAAACAGAAAGCCGTGTTCTCCTTGGAGTATTAGTTTCCTGTGGCTGCTGTAACAAAGTGCCGTAAAATGGGTGACTGAACGCAACAGAAGTTAATTCTCACAGTGCTGGGAGCCGGACGCGGGAAATCAAGGTACCGACAAGGCCGCACTTCTGACGGTTTGGGGGAAGAATCCTCTTGCCTCTGCAGATTGTGTGCCTCCCAACGATCCTCGGCATCCCTTGGCTTGTAACCGCATCACTCCAGTCACTGCCTCTGTCCTCACATGGCCTTCTTCCTGTGGGTCTCTGTCTTCTTATAAGGACCTCAGGGACATTGGATTTAGGATATAACTTAATTACATCTGCAGAGTCCCCCCTGTTAGTGTCTCCACTTGGCAAATTAGGACACTAAGACACAGAGAAGTAAAATGCTCAAGATACACAGGTAATAAGTGTGTATAATAATAATTATAAAGTAATAAGCAGGATATAAGCTCCCTGCTGTTGTGAAGAAACTGCTGAAGAATCCTTGAATCCATGAATATATTAAAGCAAGTTAAGATAGGGGTTACTCCCACTGGTGATACAGAAGGAAAAAGCTGCTAGTAGAAGCTAATTCCACCTGGGGGCAGTAGATGCATGCATAAGGCATGACACTAGCCCATGGAATTTTTTTTTAGGATGTTAAACACTGAAAGTTTTATCGTATTATTTTATGTGGATTAATGAAGAAATTAACCCAAACTACTTTTCTATTTTCCTATTATCTTAAAGTGTAGGCAACTGCTGTGAGGATTAAATATTATATATGTAAAAGTGTCTGGTAAACTGTCAAGCAAATGAAAGGGCTTCATTCCATCAACATTCAATTAACGGTTGTTATTCCCTCCTGTTAGCCAGACACTGTTCTGTTGCTGGGGGTCAGGGTGTACCAGGCATGACGTTCACTGAACAATGAGAGACAAGGACCCACCACACCATGGTGCCACTCTGCACTCACCCTTACTCTGTATGAAGATCCTAGAGATGGTCCAGGCACAAGGTGGTGGTGGCTTGGTCTACAGTGGTGGCAACAGGGACGGAAGGTGGATAGGTTCAGTATATACCTGGAGCAACTGGATGAAACTGAATTTGGAAAACAATGTGATAAGTGCTGTATTAGAGCCAAGAGGTGGAGTGCGGGAAAGGGAGCGACCGGTTCTGCCTGGAGATGACACTGGAACTCAGCTTTAAGATGAAAAAGAGCTTGCAAGGCAGATGGAGAGAAATGGGGAAATATTCCAAGAGGAAAAAATACTCTGGACTAAGGTTCCAGAGCATGGAATGTCCTTTTGCCCTTGGAAAATGAGAAGAGGGTACCTAGAAAGGCCTGTGGGATGAGATGGAGGGGAAGGAGAGATAGCTGTCCCCCAGCCCCAAGTGTTAACACGGAAGACAGATGGGAGAATAGTTTGTTCCTAAAGGACACATCCTCCTTTGGTCACTCCTTCTCAATATGCCACCTAAGTAGGGAATTTGGAAATCCCGAATTATAGATTCCATTCTTTAGCTCCAAATGGTACCTATATCAGTTGAAAATATACCTAAATCTCTCCCTTTCCTTTTGAAAGATCTGTGTTAAGTTACTCTTCTCTTAGTCTTTCACTCAAGATTCTGTCGTACTTAATAAAGATTATAATCATTAGTCTTAAGATATAGGTAGGTGGGTGGCAAGTATGATTAACATACAATAATCACACGGTTCTAAATTTACATAATGTCTAGTGGAAGGAAAATGTCGAGGCTTGTCATAATATGGAAAACACGTCATTATTAATGAAATTTGGTGACGTTTTAGGAATGTTTCAATTTACTTTTGAATTGGAATTTAATTTTATAGGCCTACTTGCTATTAAAATCAACCTAAAGGTGAGAAAGTATAGAGTTTGTCAAGAACCAACCTGAAAAAATTAGCGATGGTCAGATTTCAAACAATTTGAGCAAAAAATAGTGATAGTGATAAAATGGTGATTGCATTATAATCTAAAAACCAAAATGAATACCTGTGAGTCCATACAGATATAAATACATGATTGAATAGATAAATAAATAGGGGAAAGGAACAAATAAATATTGCTTAGAGAAGAATTCCAAGTAATACGCGTGAAGAAATGAGGAAAATACAAAGTCGCCGTTGGAACACAACAGGAATAGATGCTCAGGCAACACCCAAGGATGGGCACTAACATTAGTGGGCAAACCTTTGAAGAGAAACAGGACATTTGCAGAGTCTCAAAGTATCTCCCCCAAAATACATACTAATTACCATGGTGCTTTTAACCATTGTCCAAAAATTCCTTGATACTCTTTCCTACAGGAGTGTGGTCTAAACTTAGTGACTCACCCATAAGGAACAAAGGATGGAAAAAGAAAACCAGAAACCTTATAGCAGAGAAACCCGGCAGGCACCCCCTACCGGGTGATCAGGGTTAATATCACCAGTAAAAGTCACGTTGATATCATATTACGATATAATGTAATGAGGACATTCTTCCCAAAACTCTATAACCCCAGTCTAATCATAAGAAAACCTGAGACAAATCCAAATTGAGGGAAATTCCTCAAAATATTAAGCAGTAGGCTTCAAAGTCATAAAAAACAAGGAAAGACTGAAAAAATGCCAGGAAGAAGAGACTGTGGAGGCAGGATCCTGGAACAGAAAAAGAATGTGAATGAAAAAACTAATAGAATTAAAGTAAAGGCAGTGCTTTAGTTTATAGCACTGTACCAATAGTCAATTTCTTAGTTTTGACAAATGTACCATGTTTATGTAAGATGTTAAGATTAGAGGAAGCTGGAGGAAGGGTATACAGGAACTCTGTACTACCTTTATATGCATCTATAAATCTAAAATTATTTTAAAATGAAAAGTTTGTTAAAAAGGACTCTATCCGACATCCCTAATGGGATAAGCTGCTGAGAGCCCACCTAAATATCAATACCACTGTGGACTTGTCAGTATGAGTCAGGCATACATGTGTCACAATCATTTCTTAGTGTTTCCTACCTTCGATATATTTTTAAATCAACTTGATGTCCCTACAGTTGTCATATGGACCAAATATATAAGATAATGCTCTTATTCTTGTGAAAATTTTGGTTTATTATGGAAATCTATTTATGTATCATCTTCACATATTGACATATTGTAATCTATACATCACAATGACATGTATGACCTCCTTGAAAGTGTTCTTTTGAAAAATAAGAAATCCAGGTAAAGAGGGATAAAAATGTTTTAATTATTGAAATACATTGGTAAACTGAGTAATTTACATTGCAATACTAAGTGGATACACATGGTCATTATCAGACTAAAACCTTTCCAAATCTCCCACTAACCATCTGTCACAGGTCCTTGAAATAGTACAGAATTAACATGAGGAGATGCTGTGATCACTTGAAGAGACAATGGGAGACTCATTTGCTATGAAATGTCTGTAGTTACAGAGCCTTGGAATAAAGGAAACAGGAAGTTAATCAAAATGTGTACATGGCATGCCAGTTTCAGTAATTTATTTTCAAATACTGCGATGTCATACATTGCTCCTAATAAGGGAAATTCTCTGACACTTAAATAAAGCTGAAAACCAAATATTTAAAAAAAAGGGAAAGAGATAACAGTAAGAATCAATTTAATAATTCTACAGCTAACAATTAACACAAAGTAGAAATAGTGAAAGATAACAGACAATATATTACTTCAGGTAATTCATTTATAGTGCCTCATTATCTTCAGTTACAAATAGAATAAGGATTTTGTTATATAAAAACTATCAAAAGAGTATCAGTGAAAAGATACCATCTTCAGGAACCGCTGAATGGCCAGGGTGAAAACACTGCTGCGCAGAGCAGGCTCGCTGGGCAACAACAGTCTGTGAGCTCGTCTTTCGTAGGTGGACCACGTAAAGTTCCAGATACAGGCGTACTGTTTAACCAGTTCCTTTGTAGTGCCACACCATTCGATATGCACCCACGGCTTAACCACAGACTTAAGAACTTTGGGGAGGTTGGGGGACAGCTGACTGTTTAGAATTTCCTTGGAAATGCCTGTGCACATTACAACGCCTCTAAATCTTGATGAGCAAGCTACGAAGATAACAAAGGGAAAATAATTAGCAGGCTTGAAAAGGTGTGACATCAATAAAAATATATCCACTTTAAGCCTATAAATTATTTACTGATTTTCTTTTAAGTGAAACACACATTCAACATTCACTTACTATTTATTTAAGACTTAATGCATGGCTGGCACAGCACTCACCACTGACTTGTATAGAGAGACAAAGTCAGATAGAAAAAGAGACTACAAACTTACAATTAAAACACCACATAATAATGCCCAAACCCAGCGGCATGTCAGCATCACCCACGTTAACGGTACCGGCTGCTTGGCCACAACCCCACCCTTCCCTACTTGGGACGGGCCGAGCCACCCGCATCATGTCGAGGGGGACTGTGATGGAGCTAAGTCCGGCCACTGGCGTCAGAGCCATCCCTTACGCTCCTCTGTGCTGGGAGAACTCCGCACATCCAAATGGGCATGACTTTCGCCCTCGAGTCATCTGTAGAAGGAACTACACATTTGTATCGTGATATAAGTAATTTTAAAAGATTCCGAAATCATTCCTCGATTTGATTCAAAAAGTACCCAAGTCAACCTTGAACTTTAGCCAGTGAGTGAATTCTGTGGCTTTATTTCAAGAGATTTTACATGTGAGACCAAAAAAGGTATCTCCACTCCTTTCCAAAAAAATGTCTTTCTTTCCAAAGGACAGTGCTCTCGTCAGGATTTCTGCCCAGTAATTTAAGCCCGCAAAGCCATGAGTTCAGATGAATTACAGATAAGTACCAAATGGGCGCTTAGCAACCAGGGAAAATGGACAGCCTTTCAACTCAGGAGACTTTGCGGGTAATTCAAAGGAGGCAAAAGAAAGATCAGGACCAAACCAGTTGTGGAGAAATAGGGGAAAATTGAGGAGAGAGGGCGATGCATTAAAATAATATACATTTACAGCCATGAGCAGTAAGGAAATATTTTAGCCAGCTGTCTATCAAGTTATGTGGGCTGGCTTACCAGGGCGTTTTAGATCCACATACAAAATTTAGCAATCATCTTGTCTCCCATGAGAAAACTAAAACTGAGAGAAGGTGAGAGAAGGTAAAGGATTCATCATAGGCCCTGTGTTAACAGAGCTGCCGAGTCTCCTGACATCTGTCCACCTGGCACCCTTTCCCACTCCATTCTCATGCTTCCTGTTTTCAGGAAGGTAAACAGTAACATATGCTCTCTTCCAACTACATTATCTTTTTTATTTGATGTTAATAAGTACTACTGCAATAAGGGAAACCTGGCAGGGAATTTAGAAACCTACATGCAGGGTTACAACTCTATTAAAAATACTAGAAACAGAAAATCTCCATCAAATTCCTAGAGAAACTCAACACCCTAATGTGGTCACGAGCACTAGGGAACAAAGCTCCATGATGCTGTTGCCTTGATGAGAAAATCTTCGAAGAAGTGGCTACCCAAGATTGTTATGTTTCTTAAAGGGGAAAAACTAGTTACAGTTTCTGTGTCTCCATCCCTCAGTGGGAAAGCTTATTTGACTCCGTCTGTGAGCTTATTTTGTGACCCCTCCCTGCCCCAAACACCAACTCCAGTACTGTCCTTCAGCAAGAAGTAGGTTCAATAGCAAACTAGTCTTGCTTTGGGTCTGCCAATGGCTGGGTGCTGGTTACAAAAAGAGTATTATAATGATGATGATAAGAGTGATGATGATGATGATGACAGTGACGGCAGAAGCTACCATCTATTTCATATTTAATCCTAACATCAAACCTTCAAGCTAAGCATTAGTCCATTTTATAGAGTAAAAAATGGAGGCAACAAAGGGGAAGCAGCCTGGTCGGGTGGCTCAGTTGGTTACAGCATCGTCCCATACACCAAAAAAGTTGCAGGTTCGATTCCCGGTCAGGGTACACACTTAGGTTATGGGTTTGATCTCCAGTCACAGCGCACAGGGAGGCAACCAATCAATGCTTCTCTCTCACATCCATGTTTCTCTTCTCTCTCTTCCTTCTTCCCTCCCCCCATCCCATCCTCTCTCTCTAAAAATCAATAAAAACATATCCTCGAGTGAGGATTTAAAAAAGGGGGGGAGGTAATTTCTCAGCTCATAAGTGGAAGAGCTGAGATTCAAATCCAAGGTTGTATGGCTCCCAAAGGAGAATGGGCTATCTCAGGAATCTCAGGAAATAGAGCATTCCCGGTCACTGGGGGTTCAAAGAGGTAAGATGTCATTCAGCAAGGCTGAAAGACAGTGGGAGCCAAGCACTGAGTGGGCCATTGGACCAGGTGAGCTGAGGTTCTCTGCCTCTATGGAAAGGCTGCTTGGTATCTTTTAGAGACTGGGAGTAGGTAACGAATGAAAGCTATTTTCTCCGATCTTGATCATCTTATTATAATTCTGACGCCAAGCTCCTCACCAGGATCCCAGGTCAGTGCATCTTTTAAACAATGTTTTCTTCTGTCCACATTGAACATGTTTTATGATCTCCAACCAGTAAACCTGGCCTATGATTTTACTATTCCTTCCTGTATAACTGGGCACCGATGTAGTGCCCCTCTCCACTGGAGTTTTGGTACTAATACGTCTCCTCATTAACTAACTGCTGCTGCTGTCAAATAATGTTGATCCTAAGCTAATTCCCAGCCCCAGCCTCTCTAGTCTCTCCGCATCATTTCCAAGGTCCTAGCCCCTTAAAGTTTTTGGTAATGAAGAGTGAAACCTCACTGTTTTTGGTAAACACTTGGCCTGCTCGTGTTAAATGAATTAAGTTGCATTTAAAATAAAATTAAAAAATTTTAAAACCTGCAAAGAAAACTGAAGACCTCTTTACAATAAAACATGTTTGGTTCTACAGATTTAACCACAAAATGAAACCCCCTCCCAATCCTGAAGTCCAAGGTTTCTTAGAAATACACAGCAAAATAATATCTATAGTTCATCATCAAGGCTAAATATATACAATTATTTAGAAAAAATATACAGTACCTCTTGATTACTGAGTCATGATACTTTCTTCTAATCTTAAAGAGAAAATTAAGAAAAGTTAAATGTTCAGATTATAAGGAACACATTCTAGTTTCTTACAAAACCAGAGAGTCATGACATACATTATTTGCTGGTTCAAATCATAAAGTAGAGAAATAGCAATGAGGAACGAATAAGTAAAGGATGTTAAAATTAATTTAATACAGCCTTGTGTGCACATTAGACATCTTAATCATTTTTTAAAACTCTGCATGAGAAAGCTGTACAGTACTTAGTACATTAGCACGCCTTTTACCATAACCCTCACATAAATAATTTACCTACGCAAGAAGCTATCTACAAGGTGCAGTCACGCCAGTTAGCAAAAGGACTTCAGCTCGGCCCGCGGGGCTGTTTGTTGAGCGCCATCCTGTGCACCCAAAGGTGGCCGCTCCAGTTCCCGGTCAGGGCACATACCTGGGCTTCGGGTTCGATCCTCGGTCGGGGCACCTACAGAAGGCAACTGGTCAGCATTTCTCTCTCACACCCATGGCTCTCTCTCTCGCTGCCTTCTCTCTCAGCATGTCCTCAGGTGAGGATTTAAAAAATTTATAAATTTTCTGTAAAAAGAGCTTCATTCATGCCACAATTACTAAACTCAGAAAAAGGAGCCTCACTTCATTCAGTTGTACAACAGGCAGTCCCTTTTCCTCGAGCCACCAGACTGATTATCAGCTAGTCATCTTTATAATACACCATAGGGATTTACCTTTATGTCCTACAAAACCCCATAAACTGACAGACACATTAGCTTCCATTTTCACACTGATCACCACTGAAATTAATAAAAAATTTAAAATACCAACACGCACGGAGTAGAACCACAAACAGAAGCGAAATTAGGACTCTCATCATATGGGTGGTAACTTTAACAAATGATTACAAAGAACAGATACATGGTTCCCTGCCACTCAGTAATATGTAGGCTGAGTCAAGCAAGCTGAAATATAAATTTCATATTTTTTCACAAAACATAAATCTTTAGAGAAAAATATCACGTGATTTTACTTACTTTTTCCAACAGTCTTTGTTTGACTGGATACCATACTGACAGCTTCAGATGGGAGGCCAACATACACTCCTCCGTAGTTTCTTCCAGAAGCAGATATGGAAAAAGCAGATCAATCTCAGTGGTACCATATATATTTGAAGAAAGCGATAGAAGCATGGAGTACTTCCAACAGTTACAGAATTATTAAAATAAGTCATGATTTTTCAAAAGTAGAATTCAGAATATTATTGCCCTTGGAAATGTAATGTTTTCTGTTAAAAAGAAGATAGATGATATAGATAGATGATAGATGATGATAGATAGATAGATAGATAGATGATAGATGATAGATAGATAGATAGATAGATAGATGATAGATAGATGATAGATAGATAGATGATAGATAGATAGATAGATAGATAGATAGATAGATAGATAGATAGATAGATAGATAGATAGATGATCGATAGAT